TTCCCGTCAGCGAGGAGCAGGTGGCTTCTCCGCAGCGCTCCCGGGGCCGCGATGGGCGCGGGCGGGTGCCGGGGGCCCTTCGGCGCGGCTCGGCCGCTCCTGAGCTCCAGCGAGGTTCCGCCCAGCATAACGGAGAGCTTCATCCTGAGCGGCTACCGCTGCCCGGGCTACACCGCCGCCCAGTGCCTCCTCTCCGCCTTCCGGCCCACCAACGAAACCGGCAACTTCTGGACCCACTTCCTGGCCCTCTTTGTCTTCGCCTTTCGCTTCCTGGAGCAGTTCTGGGGCCTGGAAGGGCCCCTCCCTGGCGGGCTGCTGGATCCTTTCTATTACCCCCTCTGGAGCTACTTCCTGGGCGTCTGCAGCCTCCTGGTTGCCAGCAGCATGGCCCACCTCTTCAACTCCATGTCGCTGCTGGTCCGGGAGATCTGCTTCTACATCGACTACGGCACCATCAGCGCCTACACGGTGGGCTCCTCCTTGGCCTACTTCTATTACGTGCGTCCTCGAGCCTCGCCACCAGCACCAGGGTCCGCTCATCTCTCTTCCAGCCGTCGGGAGGGCGCCAGCTGGCTCGGTGCCGTGGCCGGCCATGCGGGCCCCTGGTTTGAAGCCCTGTATGTGCCCACAGCTTGCCTCATTGCCCTCTTCTGCACCCTGGCCTGCTGCAGCACCCGTCACCAGTGGCCCCGCTACCGGTACCTCATCCGCACGCTGGTCTTCCTGTTACCCTTCCTGGTGGTTTCCATCCCAGTTTTCCACAAGCTCTGGTGGGCGGGGGGCGGCGCACGGACTGGCCGCTTCTTCCTGCGCCACTGCTTCTGGCTGCTCGCCTCCGGGATCTTCAACATCAGCAAGATCCCTGAACGCTTCAGCCCCGGGAAGTTTGACATCTGGGGCCACAGCCACCAGTGGTTCCACTGCTGCACCTTTATGAGTATCTTGGATGAGCTCCAGATGATCCATGGGGAGATCGAGCAGCTGGGAGCAGGGCCCCCTCTCCCGCCCAGAGCTCCCACTTTCCTCTCCACCTTTGGAGTCATGCTGCTGCTGCTGGCACTGCTTGTGAGTATCGTTGGCTGGTTCGGGGCCCGCGCACACGCCAGCCACCAGGGCGAGACCCAGCCCAGGAAGGAGGACTGAGGTGGCACTCGCCTCTCTGGCTGCCATCTGGCACCCTGAGAACCTGCACTGAGAGGAGTCCTCCTGGGGGGGGGGAGCCAAGCCCGTGGAATAAAGAGGAGTGACTTGAACCCCAAACAATGCAGTTTTCGTAGACGGCCTGCCCCTCCCCTCCCCTGAGAGGGGGCCAGAATTAAGCAAACAGGACTGAAATGGGGCATGGAAATGGGAGGGGAATGTGCAGCTTGGAGCAGGAAGCCCTGGGAAGGAGCCCCGGAACAGAATGGCTCCGGCTGGGGGCCAAAGAGGGCTGGGCCCGACCGCTCAGCTTAGATCCCAGTGCCAACTCCTCTTGGGTACAGGTACCACAGCGAATGTGGTTATCTGCTCTGCCTCTGCCAGCCCCAGCCCCCTTGCTTTTAAAACAGCCACACTCATTCCTTGGAGCCCCTTCCCGGTTTCTCTCCCTCCAGCCCCGTTCCCAGCCTTGTGGTACATTCTGCCTAAATATACAGATGTAAACCAAGTTGCTTTGTTTAATGCACAAAAATAGGGGTGTTTCGCTGAGTATTTTTGGTGGGGAGGGGGAGTAAAAATAGCTTTTCAGTGGAAAGTTTGGCTGCTGCGTGCCGCCAGGCTTGTCCCGCTCTCTTTCCAAAGCGAGGGCTTTCTGTGATGGCCAATGGAGGGGCCGCCTTTCCCCTCCTTCAGCCTCCAAGTGGCGCTGCCACTGAGGTCACCAGAGGGCTGCACAACAGCTGCTGGGAGCGGGAGGGGGGGCGTGTGGGCAGAGGTCCAGGCTCCCAGGCTGGAACTGACCTTGGCCAAGATTGTGGTGGGAGAGTTGGGTGCCCCAACCTCCCAAAAGCTTCCTCAGGATGCTTTATGGGATCCTTCCTCACAAGCCAACCCACTTCCACGTGGGGAGCCAGGCTGCGTCAGCTCTCTTTGCCCGCACTGTCGCTCCGGGCTCCTGGCAGGGGATTGCCTGTATTCTGAGCCCAACTGCAGGGCTTAAGCAGATGCTATTTAGCTCTGGAAACTGCCTCCAGTCCCCACCATCCGTCACTCTCCTCTTCCACGTGCCGGGAACAGTAAGGTGTCGGTGCCTCCTAGCTCAGGCCTGACGGGCAGGTCAGAAAGCGTACCGGCTGGTTCAGCCGCTGAGCACATGCCGAACTTCCACACTAGGGCTGGCATTCACACCCTTCAAGGAGCATCTGAGGCGCGCAATTGCACACAGCTGAACTGCAGCACACGGGAACTGGCAGGAGCTCTGTGGGGCTGAAGGACAGAGCTGGGGTCCCAAGGGCGAAGGATAAAGAGAGGACACGGAAGTGAAGCGCTGGCTGTGGACAAGGGAGCGGGGAGGGCTGCCACTGGAGGAACAGCGGGCGTCGAGAGCTACAGCCACAGCAGGTCTCAGGCAATCTCAGGCCTTCCACCCAAACCCAGATTTGGCTTTGTTCAGTCGTTAAGTCGTGTCCGACTCTTCGTGACCCCATGAACCATATTGCGCCAGGCCTTCTAAGTCGTGTCCGACTCTTCGTGACCCCATGAACCATATTGCGCCAGGCCTTCTAAGTCGTGTCCGACTCTTCGTGACCCCATGAACCATATTGCGCCAGGCCTTCTAAGTCGTGTCCGACTCTTCGTGACCCCATGAACCATATTGCGCCAGGCCTTCCTGTCCTTTAGATTTGGCTGCCCCCTACGAAAAGGCCCTCTTCTGTGTCCTTGCAGGCTGGCAGATCAGGAGGGAACCAGCGATCTTAGGGAATCAAAGGGGGATCGGTACTTGTGGATGGAGTCGCTCCATCATGGCTCATGATGTTACCGCCCCGCCCCAAGCGATCATCCTGGCTCAGAGAGGTCTGGAACCCTAATGACAGAAATGGCAACCCCTGGATTGATGGCGGGCAGCCTCTGCCTGGTTCTGCTGCCTCTGTTTTTGGCACAGCAACCGCAGAAAAGTTGCCTGAAGTTCACACCCTTCAAGAGCCACGCTTGCAGGAGAGGGGAAGGGCGGGTCTTGCCTGGGTCCCTGCATCGCCCGGCTGTGCCTGGCTTCCTCAAAGGGCACCGATGGAGCTTTGACTTCCAAGGGGGCAGCGCTTTCTCTGGGCACTGGCCTGCCAGCAGACCTGTTCCAGGGAGCATGGGATATTCCTGGGGCGTTTGCACATGAGCTCTGAGCTGCCGACATGGCCTAGTACAACACTTACGCTAAAGCCGAGGGCACGTTATCGATGTGCCCTCCAGAGGAGGCTGCGCCCACAGTGCATGGCTGTGCCTTGTGGTCAACAAACACCCAGCTGCTGCTGCTGCTGCTGCCGCTCTTTTGATTGGCGGTCGCCCATTTTGCTCTGTTAGTTTTGTCCTTTGGACAGGACGTTCTGTCCAAAAGAAGGTGAAAGACGCAGGGCCAAAGAGCATCAGGGTGCCCGTGGCGACCTGCCTTTCACATTCAGCCCCTCCTCTGAAGTCCCAGTCCAGTCGCTAGTCGCCTACTCCTGCGTGGCTCAGCAGAGGCCGCACAAGGTCTGTGCTTGTGGTTTATTTATTCCCAATTGTTCAGTGTGAATCTTCTCTATCTGTGAATCATGATCCATGATGCGTATAAGGGAGGGATATCGGGAACAGGAGGAACGGGGTGAGGGAGCCACGACCTGTGAGCTAGCTGGAAGTGGGGGTTTCCCGGAGTTCAGCTGCCCGCTGGATCATCTCCAGAGCCTCCCAGAAGAAATCCTTCTGGAACGTCATGAGAGGCATGCTACCAACGGCTTCCTTCATTTTGGCCATGCGCCCCTCCAGCGTCGGGCATTTGTGCAACTGGCTCAGGTACTCTTCACAAGTGCGAGCAGCCAGAGCTTCTGCATCGCTGGGGGGCACACCAGCCTTGCTGGCAGGCAAGTCCCGGTAGGCCGGCACCTCCTCAATGTCGTGGCTGGACAGCATGTAGAGGCACTCGCGGGTGGAGCAGATACGGCGGGCACACGGTGGCACCTGCACAGGGGTAGGGGACGGTGATTAGGGAGCGCCCTACTCTGCATGGGAAGCTATGGGTGCAGCTGGGCTGGGGAAAGACGCTGAAAACCAGGAGCTAAAGTCAGAACTACAAAATCACGGATAGAATAACTGCGGTAAATTCCTCTGGGTCAACAGGCCGGTCTCTACGAGACATGGGTAGAGATTCAGCTTCTCATTTAGTTAAAAATGGACTGTTTGTCCTTTGTTGCACCCCCCCCCTGGGTTTTGGGTGGAGCGGGGGGGGGGGAGATTTGGCGATTTTAGAGGAAGGGGGGGGAGAGGAGTGGAGCCTGGCCCATGTGCCAGACCTCACCCACACTAGCCACTGCCGCCTTTGTTTCAATTTCTAAGGTGAGTCAAGACCGAGGAAACCCACTCTTTAAAAGCGGGAGAGGAAGGGTGGGTGGAAAGACTGGCACTCAGATCCTGAGGGCTCCTCAGGAGTGAAGAGACGAAGAGACGGTTTGAGGCGCTCTCCTCCGGTTCTCAGCCCCGGCCCCTTGCGTGCCCGGCCCCCTCTCACCTTGATCTGCAGCCGGACAAAAGAGGCGCTGCCCTTCGGCCACCCCGGCAGACGCCCCCCTGCTCCACAGCCACAGCCCATCAGGTCCTTGCTGAAGTCCCCACTCTGGCTCAGCACCAGGGTGTGGTTGAGACCGCACCACAGGTCTATGGGCCATTTGAGGTAGTGCACCTGCGTGGGACGATGACAAGGGCGTCTCTGATCAGGGCTGAGGATCTACTCCCCCTACCAGACATATGAAATGCATTTCCTGCTACAGGCCCAAAGCTGGAGGCATGGCCCAAGATTAAGGACTCTTCCTCTGATTGTTATTCTGGAAAGACCTGACATCCTATAGCCACGGTTTCAGGTTGGGGGGAGGTTGGCCAGGCAAAAGTAGGGACACCCAAAACCGACAAGGGCCCAGTGAAGCCGCCAGGGACAGAAACGTGTTGGGCAATAACCAACTTGGCTGGCAGATCCAAACCTCCCGGCTCTTGAGACCCTCTGGAAAATGGGATGGATGGGAGAGAAGATTATACTAAACCTGGGCAGGCTCTCCACGGTCTATCTTGTCCCCTGTACCCAGCTGACCGTAACGGTTATTTCCTTGCATGAAAATCCGTCCAAATTCATCGACCAGACCCAGGTGGTTGTAACCAAGGGCACAGCTGAGCACCTAACACAAGTGGAGAGAGAGGCCATGGGACTGAGGAAGTCTGAGCCAGACATCGAGGCTGAACGGTGCAAGAAAGCCAGCCCTGAGGAGTGGTGGGGAAGACAGCAACCGTTTAATTCGAGAAAGACCTCTGGAAGCAGTCCAGAGTGAAAACACTTGATTTACTGTGAGAAGTATGCTTCCGAGCGCGTGGAGCACTTTCTCCCAGGAGCTGTGAGCAGGAATGGCAGCGGCAGTAGGAATTCCCACTCTTAATTTCCATGCGATATCCTTAAGCGCCTGGGACTCCGTTGTCCAGGCCCTCTTGGGAACCATTGCTTTGCTGGAACTGTTGTCCAAGACGTCTGGGCGGAAGGAGCGTTGGACACCCCCCCCCCCGCGAGCACAGAGCAGGGTAAAGAGGAGAGCAACAGCGGTTACCCAGGCTTGGTGGGCCTGTTGGTAAGGTCAAATAAGCATGGGGGTCTTACCTTGATTCCTCCCCACCACCTCATGACACCGTCTGCCTGTGTCATGCTGACTTTACTGCAAGTTCCTTTGTGTGCCTTGATGCCAGCTGGATTCCTGCCACGGGACCAGGTAAAGCAAAGTTCTACCTGTGTGTTACCTTAGCTGGGAGAGAAAGGGCCAGGGGCATCTGCTGGTCAAGCGGGTCGAACGCATGCAGGGTGCCAAAGAGATCACGGTAAACACCAGGTGAGTGGACTTCGAAGTACACGGTGCCCTCGTCTGTGATGGGGAGACAGGCTCACAGTTGGCTCAAACCGAACTCTGCAAAGCACCAGGGGCTTCCCCCCCCCCCCCCCGAGC